TATATTAATATTAATAATAATAAACACGAGGTATTACTTACAGCCGCTATCTTCAACATGAGCCCCAATACTACATAGCCATCAGGAGCACAAAGGGCTTCCTTTTTAGTTCCGTACGCGCAATTTTGATGAACAATATGCATCTCAGCATCGTAACGAGAAAACTCTATTTCATGCTCCGATCCTTCGCTATGTGGCGAGCCCCAATGGAAGTGCAACTGCACAGCTTTATATATACTCTCCAGCATGCATCCGCACAGAGCTGGTTGACTACCATCGGCTCCGGGCGGTATCGCCATAGTTATGGTATGCCCATTATTGGTGAGCTTCAAGGGGCTGCCAAATATCTTGTCATAGTTGACAAAGGTTAACCTTGGAGCACTGGATCTAACAGCCTAATAAATACGTGTGCATTTACTAAGTTATCACAAAAAGTTGATCCATTTACTTTTCCTTTAGCCAATGAAATAGGCGACTGTTGTTTGCCGGCCTCCACTTTCCAGTCTTTTCCATTTTTATCATAGTTGAAATGGCTTAGTTTTGCATAGTTTCTCAATACATAATTCATTTGGAAATCTAAAAATTGTTCTATGGCAATTTGAAAAAAAAAAAAAATAAAAACTAATAAAATTCTAAACTGTAAGACTTCAATTTTGACATTAATTATATCCTGATTATATTTAAAATGGAAAATATAATGGTTTCTTTAAAATGTGTGTAACAGGCAAAAGGAAGCCTGGAATACACCATAATGTATATATATTCTTGACCAAAGCGACCTGCTGAGTCAATGTTGTCATGTCCGTCAGTCTGTCTGGATTTTTAAACGCTTTGATATTAGAGGCTATTTATTTCTTTATTTAAGAGAGTTATGATTTTCTAAATGCAAAATTTGAATGCTTACACTTAAAAAATGTGAAAATTACAGGGTATTTTTCGATATGCCACGACCGTAAAGAGGCGTCAAAATTATTTTGGGGTCATCGATAGAGGAGGTTAACTTAACTATCCAAATTTGAAGCTTCTAGCTATTGTACTTTAGGATATATAAACTTTTTACGGTCTTGGGTGGTCAACTCCAGTATATATACAAAATTTGAGGCCTCTAGCATCAATAATGTCCGAAATATAGGAAAATTTTAAAAATCACTATATCTTCAGTTCCCCTAATGGGCGTAGACATATAAATTTGTCATAAAACTTTATAGAATCATAACATTAGCTTACGTGCAGAATTTCAGCGTTACAGCTTTAAAACTCTTTGAGGTACAGTTTTATCCGATTTCCACGCCCCCAATGGGCATAAATATATCCGCCATAGCTCGTGATGTTGGGTGGTTGACGCGGATCAACATTTCAAATTTCAGGTTTCTAGCTCGTCAACTAAAATGATTTCTGGCATATTCAAAAATTTTCCGATTTGCCACGCCACTAGTGGGACGATCGAGAAAATTTTAACACTTTATAAATCGGAGATATACACGAGTATGTGTTCCAAATTTCAAGTCTCTAGCGCCGAAAAAGTTGCATTCATACGGACAGACGGACGGACGACAAGACGGATGTTGCACAAAACCAATTACTTTCGGGAATGAGTATAAAAACTAGAGACTTCATTTTTGGTAAATACACACAAAAGAAATATTATATTTCATTTCTCTGTTTTGTATGTTGAAAATTGGCTGGTCCTAGGCGCTTTTGCACTCTTTTGCAAAATCTGAGACCTTACAATTCTCAAATGGTTACAGCTTATCACGAGTACTATTAGCATTGCGATGATAGTGGCATAGGGAACATCAAGGTTGTGATGGTGAAAGGCCATGGGGAGGGGTCTATCATCTGCCGATGAAGGCAATCTACTTACATTTTACGCGTTCAGCCAGCTAGAAAACAACGAAATACAATTTTTAAAATATACTATGAAGATCATTAGGGCTGCAAATCTATTGATGGAAGCTCCACTCGATGATTTCCCCATCGATAGAAAAAACTATCGACTATATCGATGGTACCAACGAAAATTTAAAAAGCTGAAAAAGGATATGTTATTAAATTTGAATTTAACTTTTGAAATATTTTTGTATTATTTACATTTAAATATTTCGCAGTTTATAATGTACTTGAATTTTAAAAATATTTTATTTTCGTGTTTTTTAAACAATGTTGTTAAGGTTAATTAATTTTCTCAAACATAACTTCTTGATTAGTATCTTTATTCATATATATAAAAAAAATTTTTTTATTAGTTTTATAACAATAAAAAAGGCATTTATTTTCTTAAACATAATTCCTCAAAAATAATCGAATTTATGTTAAGATGTCTTGTAACAAAAAAGGAACTCATTTCCAATTGAACTCATTGCAACATATATGGCACGTCACAGTCAAATAATGGTTGAAACTTTGGGAAGTCCAACTATCCGTTGTGATTAAGCTGATTCTTTAGTTTAGTTTTCAGTTCATCATACATATTTTGAATATGCACATTTTCTAGCGTTGTGCGACTTGGCAGTACATACCGTGGATCCACTAAATGTAGTAAATATTTGAAGCCTTCGTCTTCCACGATACTGTACGGTTGAACATCTCGTACCATTCGAAAAACCGTTCTGTCGATAATAATTTTTTTGACGATGACATTTCATATGTTTCATGGCATTTTACACATTTATCAATTCTATTTAAATCAGGTGTATCATTTGATCTCACTAGATGAGCACGTTTGAGATGCACTTACAAATGCTATGTATTGTCACTGATTCCTTATTCCTTACCGCAAAGGCGACATTTGGTAAACATCTTAAAGTGTGTCCAAACCTGCGATGTCTTTTTATACCCTGAACCCATTTTCAATGGGAAATCATTTCGTTTATAATTGAACTAGCAGTCCCAGCAAGCGTTGCATTGCCCTACCCTTATTTCTAGGTAAAAAATGATTAAAAGGTATGTTGTTCAGGTTGGGATATACTCTAATTAATTTATTAATCAGATTTTCATTCAAGCACCTTGTGGTAAACGACATTCTTCGTTTTTTGGTCAGGTGCAAGAACAAATAATGCGGATGGTT